TGTGTGTGTGTGTGTGTGTGTGTGCAAAAGACAGAAAGAGAGAAAAAAAGAGGGGGAGAGAAAGAGAGACAAGCTGACAACTGACAAATCAAATAGGGCATAACCATCCAAATGAGTGATGCTGGGTTTCCTGAAAGAGCTTGTGAAATAAGTTATCACAAAATGTCAGTATGCCAACTTTCCCACAGCTAGCCAAATCAAGCAACATCTAACAACCCCAAAAGTAGCCAATTAGACACCTGCTCACTCTTGTGGGGTAGGTCGTTCTAATTTTGTCAGTGTTCTAGTTTTGTTGCAACACCCAATCCCCCGTGTGATGGTTGGATCCTTGGACACGTACAAAAGTATGACTCTGCCTATAACAGAGGGAGCGTGGGAAAGCAAGAAATGAAGTCACTGATTGGACAGTATGACATAACCGAAACAACCTAACTCATGAAAATCGTGTTAGGAAGTGGTTCGGGGTAAGATATATAGTAGCGAGACTTTGAATAATTCTTGGGGAATTTTATTGGCTTCAAACACGCTGCTTATCAGTGTCTTCCATATCATTCATTGTACATGTATTGTGATGACTCTACTCGCCCACGGACAGTGAGTCGTCCAACAGGTCAACCCACAATTCATGGTACTTATTATTTTCGATAAGCTTTCCGGTTGAAAACACTCCGTGAGATAAAAGTATACTAAACAGGGTATGTCCGACTAAAATCAACGTAAGTGCACACATATTAAGAAAAGACAAAACATACAGATGCAAACACAAAAACACAACCCCCATACAAGCAAAATTTTATCTCTGTTCCCTTCTACCAACTCGTCCTGGCCCAGTAGTTTAGGTACCAATACTGACAAAGTCACAACCACAGTATGAAACTTAGAGCAAACTTTCGGAAACTTCGGTGACATTGTTAAGGTAGCGGAGCAGAGGGTGCCCACCTCGTGACTCGAAAGAGCTGAGGAATGTAGGACTAACATGATTCTAAACAATTAACTATTAGCCAGTTGTTATTGTAACCATCTCCAGTTGGAGCTATGACAACACGTAGAAGTGTAACTTACCAAAAAAACGTTATAAGAGTGAATAAACATATTTATTTATTTATTCATTTATTTATTTATATGAAAAACATTTTCCTGTGTGTTTACTCTAAGACTAACAGCTAATTTCAAAATCCAAAATACTGCACAGTTTGTCGTTATTACTAAACACAAAAGCGCGAGATGATAGAATTGGGCAGGGTAAAAAAAGTCTCTTCCGTACCCTCTTTATTCTGCATTTCCCTGTGGAAGTTAAATCAGTGCGAAAAGTTTTTAAAATAAACTTTGAACCAGCTGTGTCCTTAGGTTTATATTCATTTATGTTTCCTTTTTCAGTACGTATGTTTCTCTATCTAATGGATTGTCCGTACCCATTTGTATTCGCATACACAACACTCTGTCCACCGCAGACATAAAGGGACTTTATGATGATTATACATGTACATGCAAGATGTGCACTGTTATCTCCCCTATAGAAAGAACAGTTTCTGAGAGACAGACGTGAAAATATGACTGGTTGGTGGAAGCTGACCGTTTTGCTAGCTGGTGATTGACTTAGTTCAATTCCTTCCAGTGATGTTTGCTAGATATTTTATCTGTGATGTTTAAGGCCGCTCAGTCTGTGTGACACTCAGAGGCGAAGCGTCTATATAATCAAATAATCACAGCTTCCCTTCCTAATTTTGAAACATTGTCACAGTCAAATTCACCCATAGACGTAAACCTCATAAATTAAATGTAAAAAGACGTTCATAATCACCAATGAACAATAGACTATGCCTAACCTTCAAAACCGTTTCATTGCCACAGAAATAGCCTGTTCGCCCCTATCGGGCCACTCCGTAAGCAGTCTCAAGCTTTGATTAAGTAAGCTTAAAGTGAGGCTGGAAGAGTCAACCAATAGAGTTAAAGGGAACATGTGCATAGCAGTCAGAACTGTTTCATTGTCGCATATACCCTGTTCACCCCTTTCGGGCCACAGTTATAAGCACCCAGACGCGCTGATTAGGTAAGCGAACTATTACACTGGTCGAGTCTACCTCACAGATGTGAGGGGAACTAACTCCTAATAATCCTTTGAGTCCTGCTACTACACTGCTAGTGCTTGGTTTTTTCCTCGACTTTTTAACGTCCTATAATCAGATCGTGACCTCGATTATGACACCGGCTCCTGGCCGCGAAAAGCTAGACAAAAAAACAGCCAAATGTGAAATACAAAATTAATAATTGGCATGCTCTACCAAAGTGTTTCGGCTGTCTGGTATAACATGCCATTGTAGTGCTGACATCTCTGCTTCTTTCCTTGGTGTTCGTGTGTTCAAATCTAAAGTTAAATTTAAGGTTAGTTAGAATAAATATTTAATGAAATACTTTCCCGATTATTTTAGCGGTTGAACAAGCATACAACATGAATTCAGGATTTGTTTTCATTCACAACTCAGAGTTGCTGCCTCCAGTGCCAGTAAGATTCTTGTGACTTGTGTGAGTGTGATATCTCCAGGCCCTATCTGGTTCCATTTCACTTTGATTACCCTGTCAAACAAGTCAGCCTTCGCCCCTGGTGACACTGCAAAGATTATAAGTTATATTGGTGAGGGCAAAATCCGTAGTGCAACTTATCCTCAAATATTTCCTCGACGGGAGATTCAGTGTCATCCATACTTTGTACAGCAGTTTGTATCAATTTGTTTTAACTTAATCATATTTTTCCAAAAACAATTGAGGCTAGATTTTTTTTTAAATTTTCATAAATCTATATAAAATACTGTAACATCTCCGTCACGCAGAAAAAGAGAGTGTTCACTGCACTTCCGGCTTCTCCCATACATTTTGCATACGTATATGGCCTACGTCATAACTCACCAATGGCACTTTTATGTAACAAAACTTGTTGCAAGAGATTAATTTTACAGTGAACTCTTTTTTTGCACTTAAGGTTCTCAAAGCATGCGCTAAATAAAGATTGTGTCACAATTAGAAAAAAAAATGACAGACTTGTTTTTAAAAGCGATATTGCCCCAGCTGTAAACCTTTTCAAATATGTAGAAATCATCCTCTTGCATATTTTATTGATATTTATTTTGATATATATATATATATATATATATATATATATATATTTATACATGTATATATAATAAGACAAAACAAAACCCGAACCTCAGGTCTGACAAAGCTGTTCGCCATCAGTTAACACTTCCGAACCACTAAACTCTACAGGGCTTCCAAAGATATTTATGTACATGGTTTGTGAAGTTTAAATTTCAACTTTTTTGACGGGAAAAAAATAGAAAAATGAAGACTATCGTAGCAATCACTTCTTACTGAGGATTTAATACTTTTAATTACGTTATCACAGCTCATAATATTGTTGAGCTCTATTTTACGGTGAGACGGTACCAACTATAACACAATTCAAATGTATTTGTTTTATTTATTTTTCAAATACATAATCAAACATAATATTATACAAGCATGTGATAAACATAATGGTCTTTTTTCTTCTTTGCGTTTCCCTGCTAGATCTCAGAGGCAGTTGACTGCTGGTTCTTCAGCAGTGCAACTGATTTAATGTATGTGACTGCTTTTGCTACTTCGTAGCATTCAGGCAGCCACTTTCCGATTTAGAAGGTTTAATATATGTTTTTATACTGAATATAGTATCTTCTGTTTTAGCATGAATTTATCATTTCAAATTGTCCCCCGGTGGCGGCCGATGCCTACTCGTATCGATGTTAGGACCAGCAAGGAATTTTAATGTGAGCAACTTGCACACGGGACCTCCAGGGCTTTTTGCACTTAGTCGAGAAGACTAGGTGTTGGATCTTATCTACTTTAAGATCAGTGTTGTGCTGAAAGACAGATGTAAGAGGGAGCCAGGAATAGGTGTAGAAAGAGTCAGACGTAAAGGAGAGAACAGCTCAGAGGAGACCCAGATAGGGAGGGTGGTAGAGGAAAAGAGCAGATGACAGAACAGGAAAAGGGGTGAAAGGAGAACATTTAAGGGAGGATTTTTCTCGTTCTCTCGGGTTTCGATCCTGCGACTGTTTGAATGAGAGGTAAACACCAAACTTCTAAAGCACGACAGTCTCCCAAAATATAATGATGAATTCAAGTAAAGCACATTTACATCTATTCCTGGAGTGGCGAGGTTTCCTGGTCGAAAATCGGAAACACTCGCACAAATCTCGACTTTCGGATTTTGTCTGGAATGAAAGGCAGTCTGTACAGTTGTCGCCCTTCGGCGTATTTGGTGCTCGGAGCCTCCTCCTTAGAACTAGCTTCTACTTCTTCCAGTTGTCCCAATAGACCACGCTCTTTCAGGGTGCCTGGGTGAAAGAAAAGGAAAACTTCAATGCATGTTGTATTTGGACTAGTGTACTCGAACTGCACATACAACTATGTGTTCTGTTGGTATCATGGCGGGTATGGTTAAATTCAGTGATTCTTTTTCGAATCCCCAACAGAGTTTGTCTAAGCTGTTAGCAGTTATTCTGTGATTCTTTTTCGTCGCTGATTTTGTTTTTGGTATTATCTGCTTTTTAAAAAAAGTTAATCCTTAAAACTGGTAGTGGATTAAACATAATTTATTAAATTGCAAATTACTATATATATACAAATAACCAAAATAAAACTGATGACATCACAGTTATGATTGTCCAAGATTTCGCTCAGAATGTGCCCAGAAACAGTTTCCGACTCCGGGATTGCAAAGTTAGATATATGTTTTTATTCAAAGTTTGCCCAGACCAGCATTTCTTGACTATTACATCCTTTTCAACCCAGATCAATTCTCACCTGCTACTGTGTTGTCCAGAAAACAGGCGAAGGCGCCTCCAATGAACGATGAGTTGGAGAGCAGCATTCTGATGGCCGAGTCCCCGGTTTCGCTGCCTGTGGAAAACAATTGTAAAACATTTTGATATTATCTGGTACCGTATACAACAAGTATCCAACCTAAATATGTAGACAAACGTCTGAAAGTTTGCACCCATGTTAGTTTTTTCTAGTTTTTTTTTGTGTCTATAAATTGATCAGCAACCATTTAATCAGACAGATCATGTATTACGGAATGAACCAATCAACCAATCAATCAACCAATCAATCAATCAATCAACCAATTAATCAATTAATCAAATAATCACTTTTAGCTCATCTCTCTCTTTCTCTCTCTCTCTCTCTTTCTCTCTCTCTTTCTCTCTCTCTCTCTCTCTCTCTCT